TATACATACATATACATACATATACATACATATACATACATATACATACATATACATACATATACATACATATACATACATATACATACATATACATACATATACATACATATACATACATATACATACATATACATACATATACATACATATACATACATATACATACATATACATACATATACATACATATACATACATATACATACATATACATACATATACATACATATACATACATATACATACATATACATACATATACATACATATACATACATATACATACATATACATACATATACATACATATACATACATATACATACATATACATACATATACATACATATACATACATATACATACATATACATACATATACATACATATACATACATATACATACATATACATACATATACATACATATACATACATATACATACATATACATACATATACATACATATACATACATATACATACATATACATACATATACATACATATACATACATATACATACATATACATACATATACATACATATACATACATATACATACATATACATACATATACATACATATACATACATATACATACATATACATACATATACATACATATACATACATATACATACATATACATACATATACATACATATACATACATATACATACATATACATACATATACATACATATACATACATATACATACATATACATACATATACATACATATACATACATATACATACATATACATACATATACATACATATACATACATATACATACATATACATACATATACATACATATACATACATATACATACATATACATACATATACATACATATACATACATATACATACATATACATACATATACATACATATACATACATATACATACATATACATACATATACATACATATAGGACAATGTATGACTTCGGCTTCTGCGCCATGGATATCCTTCAAGCAGTGGCTGAAGACTCTGGCACTTACGAAGTCAGGGCTACCAACCGCATCGGAACAGCCACTTCATCAATTACCATTGAAGTTAAGCGTGAGTATTGACCTTCATTTTTGCAAAACGCGTTGTATGTAGGAATTCTGAAGGGTTATCAATTGGATTTTTCCAGCAAACGTTCAATCGGTAACAAAAGTCCTATTCCGTCTTCCAGCCAAGAGCGACTTCATTGTAGAGACGCAGCACCCTGAGGCCATGGCCAAAATCACCAGGCTGGAGCAGAAGGCCCCCCACAGACTCCCTGAGGACTCCGTGGTGATCGAGAAGCCCAACTTCGGCCGCCCTCTGAGGAACCAGGACCATCTGATCGAGGGCCAGTCCATCCACATGGAGGCTACCCTCACCCCTGTCAACGACCCGACCATGAAGGTCGAATGGTTCTTCAATGGACAGCCCATTCCTCAAGGCAAGTGTCGTTCACACAAGCATATACATAGTAAGATTTGCAGAATATGTTGGTACAAGAGAACCAAAAAGGAACTTGCAGTTGAGATTGTTAAGATGTATAATTGTTTACTTGTCAATGAAATCGATTTGCCAGACAGTCCCTTCTCTCGTTACAGGCCATCGCTTCCGCACAACCTACGATTTCGGTTTCGTGGCTCTGGACATCCTGTACGCCTACCCCGAGGACTGTGGCACGTACATGTGCAAGGCGACCAACGCCGCGGGCCAGGCTGTGACCTCTTGCAGCATCAAGGTGGAGGGTAAGCTGGAGATGGCTCGACGTGTACACGGGTGCTTCGTCTACACTGGGGACGCACCAGCGTTCCGCCCTCCCCGCCACACTCCTTATAACTAAAATCCTGCACAAACATCCTACATAAACACTAACTCTCTGGAAACCTCTTTTGGGCATAATCTATTTAAAAGGAATTTGAATCTCAAGGAAGTGCAGAACATAAAGGATGTTCATGTTGGTGGTAGAGGATGCCTAATTCAAGTGTATACGTATAAATTGGTTGTCTCACAAGCACGTCATGGAAAAATAAATTCACAAACTACCTTTGGTCATGTATAAAGATTTTTTTCAATAGAATAGTTTGATGATTTAGATAAAAATATATATGTATGCAAACTTAAATAATTGTTGCCAAATGTAACTAACTAGGTTTGAAACCTGTAGACTAGTCAACCCAGTAAACCATAGTTACCAATGTCTGTGATTTACGAGTGTGAAAGCACTCAACATGTGCACAAATCCCCATGATGCTTGTATGACACTAAATAAGGCTGTGCATGATGTGTGTCGGAATATTGTTTCATTACTAACACCTGCCTTACCATTTACGTTTCATAAACTCACCTATGCATGATTACTTTTTAAAAATATTTTTCCTTATTTGCAATGGAATAAGTTCATTTCTAGTCCTTTTACCCAGTATTCTTTGGTAAGTAGACTTATCTTATGTATGTGTAGACTTTCAGTATTATTTCGCAGGTTATGTTTTTTTTATTGATGTTTTACACATTAATAAGTAATCACAAACACAAAACGTAGATATGTGTTAAGAACTATAACAGAACTATAACGGAGATAATTGCTCAATGCTTGTATGTATCGATTCTCATTCACGTAGAACCAATTTATTTCTCCACTTTTTTCTCTGTACACACGAAAATTCTACTTCTGTGTCACTTAATTATCGTTGTACATCGTTATTGCTCGCTTATTTTCGTTCGTTGATTTAGCTAAAATTTGCTTCCAAAACGGGCACTCTCGTCTCTCTGCCCACACATTCTTAACAGTGCCAAGTAGTCGCTGTAGGTCACGCTAGTATTTACGGAGTATTACGAAATTTGGTTATATTTTCACGGTTTCATAGGCAAGATTCATGAACAAAATTTTCAATGTATGTATGATTATCAATTATATCAGAAAGAAAAAGCATTAATAAAGAACAAAACAAGGCTCCAGTGTTTCCATTCACACCAAATAGAAGGAAAAGAAATTATATCGAAAGGAGAATGAGGAAAATGATGATAAGGATCATAATAAGAATAACAATGAAGCCAATAAGAGCAAAGGTGACACAGTCAAACTCGAAGGAAAGTCTAAACCATGAAGGTGGTAACTCGCGCAAGCAAATCGTGAAGTATCTGTGGAGGACGAGCCTCTTTCTCTCCGCCACCTGTCGGTACCTGGTCGTGCGGGAGACTGAGGGCAGTAGGTCGTGAGGCTAGGGCGGAAGGGGGCATGTGGGCTCATGGAGGAGGAGGAGGAGGAGGAGGAGGAGGAGGAGGAGCGGCGGGGAGGGATCGCAGGTACATGATGGATAAACTAAAAATATGGTTGACTCATTACAGTAAGCTGCACCACCTCGGCGCCTGACATTATTTTTAGAACGTTACACATACTCAGAACTCACGCTACGAAGATAACTTAATGAGGCACTGTACTGCGATGCAGGTGGCTGGGGATAACGGGATAACGGAGCGCCGATCCTCGTTCGCCCAACTGCGGAAACGAACGAAAGCCTTCACCGGCGCCATCTTCGAGACCGTATTTAGACTAGGATCACCTTGTGCTAAATTTATCACGCTTCGGTCAGAGCTTTCACGTTCTTAACGACCCGATCGGGAGGCGTTAACATACGTGCCAGAAAATCACGGCGAAGACTCACGGTTGTTTGAAGCGCGCGTTGACGGGGGAGGCGGGCGAAGAGAGACGAACGCGGCCCTACATCTGGCACCTGTGTTTACATAATGCTGAACTCTCGGATGTTCTTGGCACTCGGGAATCACGGCGCTAAGCTTATTTTTAACCTGCCACCTGCGTTGTATCTCGCGAATCGAAATAGATAATTATTTGCATCATTTAATCCTTAATTGTTTTCACTGACCGATTTCTTAATTAGTAAGTCTTGATTAAGTTTACACCGATGATAAGATTATGCAGCTTGATGGCGGTTCATACATTTTGATAGTAACTGAATATCAATATTAAAGAAATATTAAAATTCTGCTTTGGGTCAGAATCCAGGCGACGCGGTCTTCCAACAATATCTGGTTTTGGCAGCTGTTGTGAAGTTCGGACAGGTGCCAAATAGCGTTTAAAGATACTTTGTTTCCGTTAAGAACTTTGTTTACTCCGTCGAAGTTATGGTTATTGCCAGATCCCAATAGCTTTAGACTTTACATTTCATAATTTTTACGTTCGCACATTTATCATTGTGTCACTTTAGATTTCTCGCAAAGCAATTTTACACCTTTTAACAAAATTAATTTTCCTCGTTTAACGATATATCAGCTCGTTTATACTGAACCGAAACAATATCTGTTCACAATATAATAGTAAAATAGTGGAGATATTTAGTTTAGATACAGTCAGTCAAGAAAAAAGAAACTGATAACATCTCATAACACATATGAAACGTTCAAGAAACATCATGAATCATCATCACGATGTAGCTAACCTAACATCTGAAGTCTCACTCATAATATACTTGCTTTTTGAACAAGTATTCTTTACATGCCTTCTCTGTCTTGGAAGTACCGAGGCTGTGGTTCCTCCTACTAACCTTAGATGACCATGGACCTCTGGTGAGTTGCTAACACAAACTGCTAGATTAGATATGAAAAAGTAAGAAGATATTTACTTAGAGATTTATTCTAGAATCATTTCAGGCTGTAAAAAAAATTCTTTTTAAGCATTACATATGTTTACGTATGTTTTTGTGTTTTTTTCATAGGTTATATGAAATAATTTTCAAAAGAGTGAATGAAATTATATATTCTTATGTAAGATTTCATATCAAAAGGCAATAACATATATTTTATGAGTAATTTCGCAGTGACGTATATGTCTAAATATAATTCCTATCATTATTCATACTACCGGTTGGATAATGAGAGAAAAAAAAACATTTTTTTTAACCCTGAGATGTTACATGCGTCCTTCGTCATCCAGGTACCGGAAGCATGCAGCTGGGTACTGTAGACGAAGAGCGCATGCGCAAGATTCGTCAGCTGGAAGCCATGGGCCACAAGTCCGAAGAAATCAAGGACCAGGTCTTCCAGAAGCCCGTGTTCACCACTCCTCTCAACAGGTGCGTACTGGGGCGAGGGTGAGAATAAGAGGGGGAAGGAGGAAGGGGAGGAGAGGGAGGAGAGGGAGGAGGAGAAGGAGAAGGAGAAGGAGAAGGAGAAGGAGAGGGAGAGGGAGAGGGAGAGGGAGAGGGAGAGGGAGAGGGAAAGGGAGATGGAGAGGGAGAGGGTGAAGGAGTGGGAAGAGGGAGGAGAGGGAGAGGGAGAGAGAGTGGGAGAAGGAGAGGGAGAGGGAGAGGGAGAGGGAGTGGGAGAGGGAGAGGGAGGGAGAGGGAGAGGGAGAGGGAGAGGGAGAGGGAGAAGGAGAAGGAGAAGGAGAAGGAGAAGGAGAAGGAGAAGGAGAGGGAGGGAGAGGGAGGAAGAGAGAGAGAGAGAGAGAGAGAGAGAGAGAGAGAGAGAGAGAGAGAGAGAGAGAGAGAAGGAGAAGGAGAAGGAGAAGGAGAAGGAGAGGGAGACGGAGAGGGAGGTTGAAGGGAGGGAGAGGATGAGGAAGAGGGAAAGGGAGAGGGAGGGGGAGAGTAACAAAGAAAGAATAAAGGAGAAGGAAAGGGAGAGGGAGAGAAAAGGGGGAAGGGAGAGGGAAATGGAGAGGGAGCTCAACCGCCCTTTACCACAACAGCTAATCAAGCTCTCTTCCCTGCAGCGTGGATAACCTGGTTGAGGGCGAGCGCTGCCATCTTGAGTGCCGCCTCGAACCCATCAACGACCCTGATCTCAAGGTCGAGTGGTACGTCAATGGTGTTGAGATCAAGGCTGGTAAGTAGAAGATAGATGTTCATATGTATGAATTTCCCAATACTCGCATATTTTGAGTGAATAGTATTTGTGCAATTATGAAAGAATGCGTCAATGTGTATTTTCATAGGGCAAAGATACTACAGAGCGTCTTGTCTGTGCCTTTCAGGTCACAGGTTCCGCACCACCCATGACTTCGGCTACGTTGCCTTGGACATCCTTTATTCTTATGCTGAGGATTCTGGCACTTACCTCTGCAAGGCCACCAACAAGATGGGCGAGGCTGTTAATTCTTGCAATGTTACAGTCTCTGGTTAGTTCGCCTATATCACTAAAGCTGGTTTATTGGCGCGAAAAAGCGAATCTATCTTCTAGTCCTTTATCGACATAATGGTTTGTATATCAGTCACGTATATAATCATGTGTATAATGTCAATGCACTCTTCCAGCTCGTCGCTCCATCTACCTGGATACTCAGCACCCGATGGGCTGGGAGAAGATCCAAAACCTGGAACAGCGCGGCCGCTACGAGCGCATCGAAGTCTCTGATGTGCCCATGCAGCCACCACGATTCACATCTGAGCTTAGGGTTCGTGTCTAAGGAAACTGCCAATGAGTATACTGAATCAGAAATTAAAGTTGCATCCTTATGAGAAGCAGATATAATATGCTTTCGAGTGATAGACTATTATCTAAGTGCGCCCTTCCTCCTCCTCAGGCCAATAACACCTTGCTTAACGAGGGCCAGCACGTGCACTTGGAGGGCCGCGTGGAGCCCGTGCACGACCCAAGCATGAGGGTCGAGTGGTACCACGAGGGCAAGGCTCTGCAATCAGCCGCTCGCTTCCATACCACCTTCGACTTCGGTTACGTCGCTCTGGACATCACCACCGTGTATGCCGAAGACTCTGGCGAGTACACCTGCCGCGCCTTCAACCACATGGGCGAGGCCCAGTCCTCTGTCTCCTTCAGGGTGGAAGGCAAGGAGGGCGTGATCACCGAATCCGCCCGTCCTGAGGGCCTCGAGAAGATCCGCGAGTTGGAGGACTCCGCTCGCGTTGGCCGCCAGGTAAAATAAGTTCGCGGATTCTTTTTTAGATTATTGATTCTAAATTGATAAGATATTCACTACGTTGCTCTTAATTTTTGCTAATTTCCAGCCATATTAAAATCTACACTGTCCTCATTCCAGGTGTCCGAGGAAGTACGCACCTTCCAGCGCCCTGTGTTCACTCAGCCTCTGCAGAACCTGGACAACCTCACAGAGAACGAGACCGCCCACTTCGAGTGTCGTCTCATCCCTGTCGGGGATCCCAACCTCAAGGTTGAATGGTTCAGGAACGAGAAGCCCATTGAGACCAGTACGTAACTTTCCCTCACGTTCTCTCCTACCAGTTTGCCCAGAATAGTCTACATATGTTGACGTTTCCAGAATATACTTCTGCACTAATTAATGTGTTTCATCCCCCAGGTTCACGTATCAACCGCACTCACGACTTCGGCTACGTGGCCCTTGACATCACTGGCGTACGAGCTGACGACGAAGGCATCTACATGTGCCGCGCCTACAATGATCTTGGCGAAGCTGTCACCACAGCTTCCATCAAGATCAAATGTAAGTGTCAAGTTATACGTTTGTAATTGTTACAAGGTAGCGTGTCAGTATCAGTATTTTGGCCGATGTATTTATTCTATTGTCAAAACGAATTTTATTATGATGCAAACTAGATAGGAAAAGACAGTATTTCTATTTTATTTTTTTTTCAGCTCACGCCACCATCCAGATGGAGACGCAGCATCCAGAAGGCATGAAGAAGATTCAGGCTCTGGAAGAACGCAAAACAACTGGCCGTGGCGATGAAGCCGACAAGGTAAAAGATATTTCATAAGAGTAATCATGTATCTGTTCATAATGAACTATAATTTCCAATATTTCACAATAAATGTATTCTTTACACTCATTATTTTTGTCAGATTTACGAGAAGCCAGTATTCACGGCCACCCTGGCTGGACCCGCCCAGATCATGGAGGGCCAGAGTGCTCACTATGAGTGCCGTGTAGTGCCGGTGGGTGACCCCAACATGAGATACGAGTGGTACTGCAACGGCGTTGAGCTCAAGATGGGTAAGTGCAAATCCAAGAGTATATGATATATATCCTCTTTGATATTCGTGGTTATCTAACTGCGTCGTGCACCACAATGTAATTATGCATTTCGCTCAGATAAAAATTCTGACAAACCCTCTTGGTCATTCCTAGGTTCAAGGTTCAAGACAACCAGTGACTTTGGATACGTGACACTGGACATTCTTCAGTGCGTCGCTGAGGACTCAGGTGTCTACATGTGTAAGGCCATCAACCTGGCTGGAGAAGCCGTCAGCTCCTGCTCCACCAGGGTTCTGGGTAATTACAAAGGAAAATTATGTTTTATGACATCAGGGATCCATCAATATATGTATTTTTGACTTTGCCATCAACACATCATCATCTCTCATGGCGTTCATATGTTCCTCCTCCAGCCAAGGACAGCATCCTGGGCGACGTCCTTCACCCAGGCTGGGAAACTATCAAGCTCCGCGAGGCTCAGTGGAACCGCGTGCCTCAGACACCAACCTCTCCCGAGGCTCTGGAGCCACCCATGTTCACAAAGCACCTGGAGAGCCAAGAGCGCCTGCAGGTAATTTCTTTGGCAACGGTTCTTTAACGACACTGATTAGATTTCAATATCTATAATACCGATCTGGTTCATTTGATGTGAGACTGTTAACGTATTTTTTGCTACTACAGGAAAGTGGCACCTTGCGACTGGAGGCTCAGGTGCAGCCAGCCAACGATCCTCATCTTAGTATCGAATGGTTCAAGAACAGCGTCCAGCTCGTTACAGGTGAGCTTTGCAATGTGTTGAGGGAGGCCTCGAGTGTCGTACCTTGTTTACTGGATGAATACATGCACAGGCGCAGACGAACTCTCTCTCTCTCTCTCTCTCTCTCTCTCTCTCTCTCTCTCTCTCTCTCTCTCTCTCTCTCTCTCTCTCTCTCTCTCTCTCTCTCTCTCTCTTTCTCTCTTTACCAAACACACACACACACACACACACACACACACACACACACACACACACACACACACACACACACACACACACACACACACACACACACACACACACACACACACACACACACACACCAGGTAAGTTGTGTTCAGTGTGATGGCCGAATGCGTGCATCCCAGTTAATTACATCATGTTGATCTTTCGAGCTATTGATAATATTTACCATTACATAAGCCATTTATGAGTATATTGTAGAAGCGATAGGCAGAATCCTGAAATTCCCGTAAATAGGTTACCAGACTTCCGTCTGGGAGCTGATTTGCATACTTGATGACCGTGCGTGCGAGTTAGCAGGTGATGGTAGGTTTACTGTTGTAGTGGCTATAATTATCCATTTAACAAGCAACTCTGTTATGAAAGATACTAAGATCGGAATATGATATCTTATATGATGTGTTCAAATTTGTGATTTAAAAGATTGAAAACTGTAATTCATATTCATATTTGACTAAATATCTTCAAAGACTTTTAGTGACTGGATCTATTTTTTAGATTGATTAATTATATTGGACGTAAAGAGAAAGTTTTTTTTGTCCGATGCTCTTTCTAGCAGGTTAAAGTTCGAGCAACTTACATTTAGCTGAACTTCGGTTACCTTAGGCAGCTAGTTAGGTCACGTCAGCCTTCTCGCCATAGCTCATGACGCGCATGGCAGAGGGTGGGACCGCACGTGTCACTCGCCTCATTATCCAGCTGAAGTCAGACTTGCCATGATGGTGTCTGTCTGTCAGATCCCGATCTCATTGTCACTCTCTCCCTCTCCCCCCCTCTCCCGCCTCCGCCCCTCCCCGCCCCGCTGAGACAGGTCCAGGAGGCATTGTGGGATCCTACAACGAAGGTATTGTTCATTTCACATCCGGGCTTTCAGGTGGCGGGACTGCGAGGGTCAAACAGCTGGCTTTGTTGAGGTGGCGGTGTAGGTTCTGCAGCATGGCCCTTTGCATGTTGGGGATGTGCAATAGTACATTCATTTCTGCTATGTGAACGTGATATTTTAAATCTATTATTATAGTTATTATTATTATTATTTTTTTTTTTTTATTATTGTTATTATTATCATTATTATTATTATTATTATTATTATTATATTATTATTATTATTATTATTATTATTATTATTATTATTATTATTATTATTATTATTATTATTATTATTATTATTATTATTATTATTATTATTATTATTACTACTATTACTATTATTATTATTATTATCATCATTATTATTATTATTATTATTATTATTATTATTATTATTATCATTATTATTGTTATTATAATTATTATCATTGTTATTATTATTATTATTATTATTATTATTATTATCATTATTATTGTTATTATTATTATTGTTATTATTATTATTATTATTTTTTTTTTTAATTATTATTACTATTATTATAATTATTATTATTATTATTATCATCATCACCATCATCATTATCACTGGTATTGTTTTTCTTATTCATATTTACGCTTGAATTATTCAGCCTGTAGCACTGTCCAACGGATGTAATTTATAACAGACAGTATCAATTAATACCTGATCTCCTCTCTAGGTACTCGTATTCGTAGTACCTTTGACTTCGGTCACGTGACCCTGGAGATCTCAGGGCTGCGTGAGGAAGACTCTGGCATCTACACTTGCAAGGCCGTCAACCGCGTGGGAGAAGCAGTCTCTACTTGCAACATCAAGGTCTTCGGTTAGTATTCAATACATTGGCTCTCAGTAAATTTCGTTGAAGTCATGATAAACTGCATTTTATATTTGAGTATCATTGAAGATAATCTTTCGGAAAGGGAAGGAGAAAAGAAGTATGACTACATATATAACTGGCGTTGCTTTGCGCAGGCCGCGACTGGCTGATCGGCGACTCCATGCATCCCGAGGCCCTGTCCAAGATTGCACAGCTCGAACAGCCTGCCGCAGGCCCTGGCTCCCCCGATGAGCCCACCTTCGACGTGCCGGTGTTCATCTCGCACTTGAACAATGTGGAATGTCGCGAAGGAGACACTGCTCACTTCGAGTGCAAGGTTCAGCCATGCAGCGACCCTACAATGAAGATTGGTAAGTTAGATGATTTCGGCGCTGTAGTAGATAATTCCACAGCATAGATATGTGATTAATCTCTCCACTATATATTTCAAATAACAACTGTAATGTTACAGTATTCCTAATACTTCTTCCTGTTGCAGAGTGGTTCATCAATGGCAAACCCATGCAGGCAGCCGCACGTTATCAGGCTACCTACGACTTTGGATACGTGTCCCTCGATTGCACTCACTGCTACGCCGAGGATTCCGGCATCTACATGTGCCGCGCCACGAACGCTAAGGGCTCAGCCACTACCACTGGCACGCTTACGTGCATCAGCAAGGCCAACCTCTACTTCGACACCCAGCACCCGCAGGGCAGAGCTGGCCTTGAGGCAGTGAGTTTCGTTGGTTTCTGAGTCTGTGCATCTTATTAGAGGGAGTGGGATATTGTGTGATATGATTGCGTTTTATGCTAACTTTTCATTACTTCTCACCAGGTGGAGGAAGCCGAGCGTGCCTACTGGGCCAAGTACCAGAGGCAGATGTCTGAACGTGAAGTCTCCTTCCCGAAGCCCTTCTTTGTCAGGCCTCTGCAGACCAACTTCTCCCTCAATGAGAACCAGGTATGCGAACTAACAAGAGTATCAAACACAAGCATTTAACTAATATATAATTAAATGTTGTAGATTCCTGTAAAAAAAAACGCAAACCTAACCACCTACATCTTTTATCTAGGCTCTGCATATGGAGGCCAACGTTGAGCCCAAACAGGATCCTGATCTTAAGATCGAATGGTTCTTGAACGGCAAGGTTCTGGAACAGGCATCACGCTACAAGACGAGCTACGACTTTGGTCTTGTCTCGCTCGACCTCAGTGACGTCTACGAGCGTGACCAGGGTATCTACACCTGCCGCGCCTACAACAAGGTCAGAACATAATGAACGAAAATAACGGTTGAGAGAATTTTGTTATAAGTTATCAAATAATGCATTCCTCTCAGTCATAGATACAATAAAATGCTTTCAAGAGTTTCCTTTGCTAATTACGGCATAACAATAATCTTACAGGCAGGAGAAGCCTTCTGCACCACCACCGTCGTTGTGGTCGGCAAGGATGTCCTTATCGAGGGCACTCAGCATCCTGCTGGCGAAGCTGGGCTCGAGGCCATTCAGGTAAGCACACATGTACATCCTTACGTATATACTATATATACACATTGATGTAAGTACACTGATAGAACGCGAATTATTTTTTCCCTTCATTAGAAAAAATAACTGAAGGATCATTAGTCTGAATTTAGCTGTAATTAATTCACCGACTTCGTTTCCCTCAGCGCATGGAGAACAAGCTCCGCCGCGACGACCGCGCTCTCCCCGACGAGGAGGGCCACCCGCCCGTCTTCACCGTCCCCTTCAAGGTGAGAGGCTCCCGCCACAGCACTGCTCACGCCCCCTGTTAACTCTTATAGATAGATATATACAAACACGCACTCACGCACGCACGAAAGAAAGAGAAAAAGTAAAGGAACTATAGATAGATATAGAAATAAATCTAGGTAGACATATAGATATAGATAGATATATAAACAGATACAAAAATTAGATGGATATAGAGAGATATATAGATAGATAGGTAGATAGGCGAAGAGATAGATGCATAGATAGACACTGACATGTATATATATATATATATATATATATATATATATATATATATATATATATATATATGTGTGTGTGTGTGTGTGTGTGTGTGTGTGTGTGTGTGTGTGTGTGTGTGTGTGTGTGTGTGTGTGTGTGTGTGTGTGTGTGTGTGCGTGTGTGTGTGTGTGTGTGTGTGTGTGTGTGTGTGTGTGTGTGTGTGTGTGTGTGTGTAGATAGTTATATAGATGGATATAGATATTATGTGTGTCTGCGCGTGTGTAATGTAATAGAATTTATTTAACTTAACTGACCCTCTGTCTGCAGGACCTGAGCAACATGGAGGAGGGTGAGATCGCTCACTTCGAGGCCATGCTCACCCCCGTCGGCGATGAGTCCATGAAGGTCGAGTGGTTCTTCAAGGGCGAGGCGCTCAAGGCCTCCCACCGCGTCCGCACAGTGTACGCTTTCGGCATGGTTGTGCTTGAGATCTTAGGCACAAAGGTGGGTTCGCTTTACACGTTCAATTCATTTCTCTCTCTCTCTCTCTCTCTCTCTCTCTCTCTCTCTCTCTCTCTCTCTCTCTCTCTCTCTCTCTCTCTCTCTCTCTCTCTCTCTCTTTCTCTCTCTCTCTCTCAAAATATTATCAACATGTAATAATTACAAAAAAATCGATAACCTTGTTGAACATACATCCCTTCCATTCCAGATCTCCGACAGCGGAGAGTACACTTGCCGTGCATCCAACAAGTGGGGTAAGGCTGAATGTTCCGTCACCCTTGAGTGCGTCGACCGCGCTCATGGCCAGCCTCCTCGCTTCACCACTCACATCCAGAACCTGGAGGGACTCAAGGACGGCGACTCTGCCCACTTCGAGTGCACTCTGGTCCCCATCGGCGACCCCAACATGAAGGTCGAATGGTTCCACAACGGCGAGCCGCTCCGCAACGCCACTCGCATCAAGACCGTCAGCGATTTCGGCTTTGTCGTCCTGGACATTGCCTACCTGCAGAACCACGATGCCGGCGAATGGATGTGCAAGGCCTCCAACAAGTATGGCGAAGACACTACCAAGGCATTCCTGAACTGCTATGGAAAGGGAGGTGTCTACACAGAGTCACTGCAGCCCGGCTCGCTCGACAAGATTGCAGCTCTGGAGGGCCAGAAGGCTGGCCTCCAGGCTCCCACCACTCCCTCGGCAGCCGAGCCTCCCAAGTTCATCACTCAGATCGCCAACATCGAACGCCTGGTTGAGGGACAGAGTGCTCACTTCGAGGCGCGCCTGAAACCCGTGAATGACCCCAAGCTTGTCGTTGAGTGGTTCAAGGATGGCAAGAAACTTCCTTCTGGCCATCGCTACAGAACCTTCCATGACTTTGGCATTGTTATCCTAGACATTCTCTACTGCTACGAGGAAGACTCAGGCGTGTATGAGGCCCGCGCTGTCAACAAGCTTGGCGAGGACAAGACAACTGCTAACCTGAAGTGCCTTAGCAAGACCAACCTCATCCTCACACCTCAGGTGCCCAAGGGAATGGAAGGCGGCCTTCAGAAGCTCCAGACTTTGGAGGACACTGCCTGGATGCGTCGCGAGTCCGTCACATCTGACAGAGTAGGCATGGCACCCAAGTTCACAGTTCCTCTGAATAACATTGACAACATGAAGGAGGGAGAGAATGCTCACTTCGAGGCCCGCCTTGTACCAACCGATGACCCTCGCCTGAAGGTCGAATGGTACTGGAATGGAAAGCCAATGAAGTACAGCTCTCGCATCCGTCAGTTCTGTGACTTCGGCTTTGTAATCATGGAAGTTTCCCCAGTTTACCCTGAGGATTCTGGTGAGTACATGTGCCGTGCTTACAATGACTATGGTGAGGCTGTCACAAAGGCTTATCTGAAGTGCGAAGGTAAGCGCTCTGTCATTCTCGAAAGTCAGCTTCCTAAGTCCATGCAGAAGGGCATGGAAAGGATTGCTGAACTGGAAGGCCTCATGATCAAATCGCCTGATATGGGCACTCCATCCGACGCTGGACAGCCACCACAGTTCATGACACAGCCTCAGGATTGCACCATCCTTGAGAACCAGCTGGCGCACTTCGAGTGCCGCCTTCTGCCAGTGGGCGATCCTTACCTCCGTGTAGAGTGGTATCATAATGGACGCCCACTGAGGGCTGGGTCTCGCATCAAGACCATCAATGACTTTGGCTATGTCATTCTGGAACTTGCTGGTTGCTATTCCAATGATTCTGGCACTTACACGTGCAGGGCGATCAATAAGCATGGCGAAGCTTCCGTCGAATGTAAGTTGATTGTTACCAGCAAGAGCGGAATTATCCTTGATCCCCAGGCTACTTCCAAGTTCAAGGGATGCACAGAG